TGTTTATGCAGTCTAGTGTACCATTTACACCTATTGATCGATTGTTTATGCAGTCTAGTGTACCATTTACACCTATTGATCGATTGTTTATGCAGTCTAGTGTACCATTTACACCTATTGATCGATTGTTTGTTTGAATCAGCAAACAACAGCAATGATGATATAACTATGATGAATATAAATGACCCTTCACAGCCCCTTTCCATGAAAATTGTCATATCACGCAGCGGCAGATATGTATCTCTAAAAACAAAGAAAAAAATATATAAAAGAAGTTTTTTACCATCTAGCATAAAGCTATTGTCAGAATAAGCATAAACGTGTATTGCTCTTTTGAGTATATAACTCCAAAGGTCTTGTGATTAAATTCCTGCATGTGGTTGAATGATGCGTCTGATGTGATATGTACTTTTTGTCAGCATTACTTCTCTTTTCATATTGAGTTTTAATGAGAGTAGGCCTAATATATAATTTAGATTTTTATGTATATACCTGCATGTGTTTTTACGGTCCTGTATAGCCAAGAAAAATTTCCCTCTGGGATAATAAAGTATTTTCCTAATCTTAATCTTAATGAATGACTGGCAAGTCAAGACTGTGAAATATTCGTACCTGTAATCTTTGTGAGGTGCGCAGGCTTCGGATCTGTCGCGTCTGCTCTGGGTACTTGGGAAGCTGCACAGACACAATGACCTTCCCAACCATGTCGGAGGTCATGAACTCTGAGAGAGACACTTGTTCACGTGCTTTATGACTTACTGTGGGGGAAAAAAACGAACAAAGAACAGTAGTATCAAATAAAATGTAATAATAATGTGATGATGATGATGATGATGATGATGATGATGATGATGATGATTATGATGATGGTGATAACAATACTGCTACTACTACTACATGTACTACTACTGCACTACAACCACTACCACTACCACTACTACTATCACTACCACTACCACTTCCACTATCACTATTACTATAACTACCACTACCACTACCACTACCACTACCACTACCACTACCACTACCACTACCACTACCATTACCACTACCACCACCACTACTACTACTACTAAATCCATATATGCCAAAAACAAATAAAAGAACT